AAAAGACCTCATGAGAGGAATCAAGGGGTTCTTGGGAAGAGACACAGAGAAAAGACAAAATCACGTAGAGAATTGTGTTCTAACATGCTTTCCAACTGGAGAGTGAGAACTCCTAGGATGGCATCGAATGGAAACAGAAGTGGCGTGACTTTGGTCACCTGTATCTTATGAGAACCATGATTTTTGAGTACCACCACCTTTTCCCTCTTGCATTGCCAGCACTGTGAGAATGAATGTTTCTGAAAATTTTTTGAGCAAATTTGTGTTATTACCGTATCTTTGGACTTACCTGCCATATCTTTGAATTGAAATATAACCTTGGACATTCGTGTGTTGTTGTTAAGAAGTTCAATACTTTTAAAAACTGGCACTGGATTCTGTCTCTTTTTCCTATGCTACGCATGCACAATGGTCTATACCTGAATGAGTTAAGATATTTAAACCGGGTCTGGTTGTGAACAAGTGGTAGTCTAGTGAAGGAGGGTCTACTTGCTTGGCAGTGGTAGGAAAGCTTCCCAAGTATGTGGCTCAGCAAACTGGGCCTCTATGCCTACCAACTGGATCTGGAACCACAGTAGACAAAGAATCCTTTCATAAGTATGTGAAGGAATGTTCCCTAACATGGCCGGAGGCCTGAGATGAGTAAGGATTTAGCAATAAAGGACTGTACACCACTATTATCTACACCATTTAGCAACCAACAATAGATATGGGACAAAAAACATTTCGGGTGTAAGAACCTACTTTCTCAAGAACCTTGGTAGGAGGTTCTTGAAAAGAGAGGTTCTTCCATCACCAAAACATTAGGTTTTTCCTTCTCCTTTCTCTTTTACCAGGGTCTGACTCAGCTATCCTTTTCATTGCTCTGTTCTGAGTACTAAATTCCGGTACGTATTTCTGAACACCAGCTACTATGTGATTTAGTGGTGCTCATTGTACCTATATACATGTAAGTATTTTTGTTGGTTGGATTTAACAGTAGAGCAAATTTCTATGCTGTATTATGCTTGATGTGATCTGATATACTTGGATATTTGTACCTATTATATAATTGTATGCATATGTCTGAGATGACCAAGGAACATGAAAATCTGTGAACCAGAGGGATGTTACTGGGGTCTCATGCCCGCCATTATTGAAAATCAGACTGTATGCCGTAGCGCAGGAACTAGCTTTACAACTTGCCACAAGAGGACATTATCTGGAGATGTACTTGAATGTTGTGAAATATTTTCAAGCAATCTTTTGCTCACTGCTGTTATTTCTGTTAAATGAAAACTTGACCAAAACAGTGAGAAGGTAAAAAAAAAAAAAAAAAACCCTCTAAAGTCCTAGTTGTGAAGAATTGACGTTTTCTATTGAACTCAGACACGCATTAGTAAAGTTGTACTTTTTTGCCAATGCAGTGAAATTGAGTCTAATTAATGTTGTGTCTGAATACAGCAGATTGTGTTTTCATGAAAGGAAAATCTATCTTTGACACAAGATAAAAGCAAATATTTTTGCAGTCTCCTGCACTGATCACAGCGATTGCAATTAATCCACTCCACAACGCCTACAAATGCTCAGAAGGACAATACGAAAATAAAAGATATTAAAACCCGAAGAAATGTTATGCAGCAATTAAGCTGTTTCCAAAACTATTTTTTTAAATTAGTTTTTTGCCATCACAGCGTGCATGCTGTTCATTTTTAAGGGAAAGTTTAAGTGAAATTTCATAAATGAACAACAGATGGGGGAAGGGGGGCTACATTGTATAGACTGGCTGCCTATAAATCATTTTTTTTATAAAACTCATCATTTATACAGTAAAGAGATAGCATATGGTATACACAAGACTGTGTCTTAAAGAGGACCTCCAATCAAACAGCTACTGCATAGAAACAGTTGAAGTACATATATACTATGTTTTGAAAGAGGAACTTCACTCCTCCTCCAATGTTGTTTTTTTCCATTCTTATCTTTCACTTTGGGTTATCTGCAAAAATAACTGCAAAAATAACTTCACTTTGGGTTATCTGCAATAACACACACAGTCCCAGTGCAATGAAAGCATTTGTATTAAATAATGCAAAGACAGTTCGCAGATAACCCAGAGGGAAGAAAGCCCAGCCGGGAACACCTACCATTTCAACAGCGTGTATCAAGCAGGATTCAGCAGCAAAACTGACAGCACCCGTTAAGAGGTGCAGAATGCAGCCTGACCTGTGCCCAAGCAGGAAGATGTCCAGAGAAGCTGCAAGCCCTATGCTTTCCTTCCTTGTAAGGAATCTTTCCATCCCACTAGTTCTGTCCCTATCAGGCGGGGTACCTGTCCCTACTCTACCAACTCACCAATAAAGCGCCAAACCTGGGAGCCAGACCCTTGAAAAGGCTCTTCCTGACCCAAGATGGCCGTCAGAGTCACATGAGTTGGCAGCATCCAATGGGGGAGCTTCCCCAGTGACCCAAAAAACCGTAGAAGAACCATGTCCCTCTAGAATTCCTCTCCAACTTTAGTGCGGCTGCGGAAGAGAAAGTAGACTGCACCTGCCTACATGCGGTCCCCCCTTGTTCCAGGCATTAGTGAGCTCAAACATCCGAGAAGGAGAGACCATTGCATAGGGCAGGTAAGTATAACATGTTTGTTATTTAAAAAGAATTAAAAAAGCAACCTTTACAATCACTTTGAGGGAGTTGGTTAATTAGCTATATTTTGTGATTGCAATAGCTCCTTATAATAAAACATCCATTATCCAGGGCTGTAGGATAAGGCGTAACGGAAGTTTAATCACAAGTGTGACAGGGCCCCTGGCTGGTTATTAGGTCATAGTGACCCCATTACCCCCCAGGGAACCTACATGTGTTGGGCAATGAGTGAAGAGGCACTGTATCTTTCCCGACAGGACTGTGAAGAGAAGCAGCACGGCCCGGGCAGTGACATTTGTTTTTCATCTTTGACCTCAGCACTGATTCCCATTCAGTTATGGCCTCCACTATGACTGATAATGCATCCTATTGTGAATCTAAAGTGACACTAAACTCTGGTTTAAAATTTAAATTCTATGTAAGTATGAATTCAACTCAAAAAAGTCCCTTCTATTACTCTCAGCCTCCTCCAAATCTACAAATTCTTTTTTTTTGCTGCTGTGATCTGACTTCCTGTTAGAAGGTGGCTACATTTGTTTTTCATGGTCCCACTGTATGTAGGAACATAGTAACCCGTTCTTGCTCATTTCTGAGTTGGTCTGTAGACTTTGGGATTTGTAGTGTGCGTTGAGTATTGAACATGACCTAACATGCACTGCTTGTTCAAAACAAATGGAAGTTGGTGGGGAGAGGTTCGGGAGCTCACAGAGAACATTACAAGATGGCAAAAAACACAGTATGAAACAATTTAATGAAAAATACTGTAGATTACAGGACCATTAAGTAGTAGATGGGCTTGAATTATGTTTGAAGGTTAAAGTGGTATTAAATTCAAAACCAAAAATGCAATGTATTGGAGCTTACCAATCATTAGATGTGGTGGCTACATCCATTTTCTTTCTTTAGGCTTTTTTCCCTTCTGTTTTCACCTAGTGATTTGGCTAGTAACACAGTATTAATATGTCTATACTAGGGATGAAGGAGCACAAGGACACCTATGGACAGCAGCATTGTCCGTCTGGTGAGAGGGGAGTGTTAGATGTGCTAGCAGATTTAGATACACTAACACATTGAAATCAAACTCCAGGTCACACTCTTTAAGTAGTTACAGCAGTTTTTTTTTTATTCGGGATAAAGATTTTATATAAATTAATACAATCTGACTGCTATATAAATCCTGTATAATAATAATAATAATAATATTTTAAGCCCCCTTATCAGTGGTAAATTGTTTGTCTCAACAATGCTGCATCTGCAGGACTGTTTGTTCTGTTGATAAAACTGGCTGAATCACCAGATGAAAATAAAAGGGAACTAATGCAGCCCTTACATCTAAGAATTGGTAAGCTGCAATATAATAATATAATAAATGTTTGATTTTAGGTTTATTACTTCTTTAAGGGTACCATTTATTGTCACTTTAATATCTGTTTGGAAGGAAGCCATGATTTGTAGTTCAGAGGTGGCCAATGTTGACATTGGCTTCTAAAGTAGGAATTATTAATTGTCAATTTATTCAATAAAGATGCGTGGATGGTGAATATTAAAAAGAATGGATAGATACATGTTTTTTTAAGATGAAATAGCTTTATTAATGGGCTTTAACATTCTTGACACTGCACATCAGCTTCACAACTTTCCATTAACGAAAAGGAAGAACATTTATTTCTCTGTCTTTATAAATAAAGTGAAACACGCTGAGACAAATCACTCTACCATGCTCAGACTGGGAAACTCAAGCTGTCCTTGGAACCTAGAGGAGCAATATGTGGCAGGAACCTCAGCAGGAGAAAACGCTAGAAAACAAATTATACATCACCCAGTCTTTTCTGAATGGCCTGATTTAGGTTTGGTTCAGTCACTCACCTTGGCATGTCCATTAGTGGTGCTTTTAAAGAAATTTCTGTGTGTTATCACTCAGACAAGGCGACACAGAAAATAATGTGGAAATGTAACATCTGTTAACTGTAGTCAGTGTGGTTAAGCTTCCCATAGATTTGATTAGAGAAAGGCTGAATATACAGGGATGATCCAACTACCCCCAGGGCAGAGAGCATCTCAAATCCTAAAGGGTGCTCCTTGAGAGGAGAGATAGATATGGCTGGCTCCTCTTGGCCACTTCCATCCCCAGAGAGCTCCAGGTTGACTTACATCTACCCACCAACTTTAGAAGTGATTGTTGCCTGCTCTGACTAAAAATGTCCCAGCCATCTCATCTCGACTCCCAAATGTAAGCTATCCTAACCCCTTATTGGTGCTGCAAAAACTGGTGCTTACCTGTGTTCGTTCTGCCCAACCAAGCACTCCGCGGTTCTAGCAGTTGTATTTAAGCATCTAAATGCACACATAAAAGACATACACTATATTGCCAAAAGTATTGGGACACCCCTCCAAATCATTGGATTCAGATGTTCCAATCACCCCCCTGGCCACAGGTGTATAAAATCAAGCACCTAGGCATGCAGACTGCTTCTACAAACATTTGTGAAAGAATGGGTCACTCTAAGGATCTCAGTGAATTCAAGCGTGGTACCGTGATAGGTTGCCACCTGTACAATAAGTCCATCCGTGAAATTTCCTTGCTACTAAATATTCCACGGTCAACTGTTAGTGGGATTATAACAAAGTGGAAGCAACTGGGAACAACAGCAACTCAGCCACACAGTGGTAGGCAATGTAAAATGACAGAGCAGGGTCAGCACATTCTGAAGCACACAGTGCACAGAAGTCCTCAACTGTCTACAGAGTAAATACCGTATTTTTCGCTCCATAAGACGCACCTGACCATAAGACGCACCTAGGTTTTAGAGGCGAAAAACAAGAAAAAAAATATTCTGAACCAATGGACTGCAGACACAGTACAGGGGATGACCAGAGACTGCGGACACAATACAGGAGATGACCAGAGACTGCGGACACAGTACAGGAGATGACCAGAGACTGCGGACACAGTACAGGAGATGACCAGAGACTGTGGACACAGTGCAGGAGATGACCAGAGACTGCGGACACAGTGCAGGAGATGACCAGAGACTGCGGACACAGTGCAGGGAATGACCAGAGACTGCAGACAGTGCAGGGAATGACCAGAGACTGCAGACAGTGCAGGGAATGACCAGAGACTGCAGACAGTGCAGGGAATGACCAGAGACTGTAGACAGTGCAGTGGATGGACAGAGACTGTAGACAGCGCAGGGAATGACCAGAGACTGCAGACAGTGCAGGGAATGACCAGAGACTGCAGACAGTGCAGGGAATGACCAGAGACTGCAGACAGTGCAGGGAATGACCAGAGACTGCAGACAGTGCAGGGAATGACCAGAGACTGCAGACAGTGCAGGGAATGACCAGAGACTGCTGACCTTTGGGGAGGGAGGGGGAGCGGGTACCTGAATTTGACAGGTACCCGTTCCCACTTCCGCGGAGTTGTCCTTCCCTCTTCTTCCCGGGCCGGCTTCTGTGACAGCCGGGTGCCCACTGCGCATGTGCGAGAAGCGCTGCGCTTTGTGAATGGTCCAGCGCCTTCTGGGACCTGTCATGTGTCCCAGAAGACACCGGATCATTCACAAAGCGCAGCACATGCGCAGTGGGCACCCGGCTCTCACAGCAGCCAGCGCGGGAAGACTGTGCAGCGCTGGAGCGAGGAACAGGTAAGGCCCTGCAGGAGAGAACAGCTGAGCGGCCGGCCCGGTATTCTGACATGGTGGCGGCAGAAATACCGAACCGGCCGCTTTATATTCGCTCCATAAGACGCACTGACATTTTCCCCCCTTTTTTGGGGGGAAAAAAGTGCGTCTTATGGAGCGAAAAATACGGTAGCTAAAGACCTCCAAACTTCATGTGGACTTCAGATTAGCACAACAGTGCATAGAGAGCTTCATGGAATGGGTTTCCATGACCGAGCAGCTGCATCCAAGCCTTACATCACCAAGTGCAATGCAAAGCATTAGATGCAGTGGTGTAAAGCACGCCGCCACTAAAATCTAGAACAGTGGATATGTGTTCTCTGGAGAGACGAATCACGGTTCTCTGTTTGGCAATCTGATAGATGTGTCTGGGTTTAGCAGTTGCCAGGAGAACGGTACTTGCCTGGCTGCATTATGGTGTGGGGTTGTTTCTCAGGGGGTAGGGTTTGACCCCTTAGTTCCAGTGAAGGGAACTCTTAAGGCGTCAGCATACCAAGACATTTTGGACAATTTCATGCTCCCAACTTTGTGGGAACAGTTTGGGGATGGCCCCTTCCTGTTCCAACATGACTGCACACCAGTGCACAAAGCAAAGTCCATAAAGACATAAATGAGCGAGTTTAGGGTGGAGATACTTGACTGACCTGCACAGAGTCTTGTCCGATGGTACACATGTGGGATGAATTAGAGTGGATACTGCGAGCCAGGCCTTCTCATCCGACATCAGTGCCTGACCTCACAAATGTGCTTCTGATGAATGGTCAAACATTCCCATAGACACACTCCTAAACCTTGTGGACAGCCTTCCCAGAAGAGCTGAAGCTGTTATAGCTGCAAAGGGTGGGCCAACTCACTATTGAACCCTACAGACTATGACTGAGATGCCATTAAAACTCATGTGCATGTTAAGGCAGGCGTCCCTATAGGAACATCTGTACCTGTCAAAACAGTTTTAAACTATTGACGGTTTTAGATTTTTCTCTAGAATTTGTTGGCCCTTACATGGCTGTGCAGTGATTGACAGACCTCAGCCCATTCATTTTAATGGAAGTCCCAAAAGCTGTACAAATCCAAATCAGGCTTTGCAATTATTGGTTATCAGATATTGAGGGAACTGCCGTGGATATTAATAGAACTAAATAATTATCTGCTCAAGAAGCTTCCCTAACCTCCATTCCATATCAGCTAGGATAATTTCATAGCTCAGTCCAGACTTTACACAGCCATCAGTTTATGCAACAATATAACTAAACCAAATCCACACTACAGGTAAGGCAACCCTCCTGGTAATCCAGTTATAATGGGGCTTGAAATGTAAAGATCTTCCAACTTGTCTGTAATGACTACTCTAGGTCTCCACCAATAAGGACCACAACTGAGGCCTTGATGCTTTCTTCAATTCAGGGAAATCAAATTCTACTAAACAAAATGGGTTCAGAATGGATGCAGATTACATGTTTCAAGAGATATGCCCTCTTCCTCAGAGCTCCAAGGAAGAGGGCATAGCCCTCAAAACGCGTAAGCTGCACTCTTTCTTCACCTGTTTTTGTTTTGTAGAATTTGTACTTGTTCAAATGCTCTGGTACCTAAAGCTGATATCTTTTTCGTGTTGTGTGTTGTGGTGTGATTTGAGCCCATACAAAATGAGTGGGCTCAAATTGCACTGTAAAAAATCCCATTTGATTTGAATAGGAATGCGGCATGATTCCTGTTTGAATTGCAGGGGGTTTTCCTCACCTCTCCTGTGTGAACCCAGGCTTGTCATAGTGACCTCAGCCTGGGTTCACACAGGAGCGGTATGGGAAACCGCATGTGATTCGGACAGGAATCTCACCACATTACTGTTCAAATCACATGCAATTCTTTGAAGTGTGTTTTAAACTCATTCATTTTGTATGGGCTCAAATCGCAACAAACGAAAAAAATAGTTATTGGTAATTGGTAAGAATGCACTGATACCCTTTTTTTTTTATCGGTGAGTACGAGTTCCAATACTTTTGGTCAAGTACTCGCCTATACTGAGTACTGATACTTTGCGGTGCAATTTCTGTCCATACAAAATGTATCCAAACAGGAGTGGGTTGCTACTACCTATCCTACCTATTGGATGTATTTGACTTAAAGCCAGGGGCGGACTGATCATTTGGAAACTTGGGCACTGCCCGAGGGCCCGGGGTCAGTAGGGGGCCCCTTGAGATGCCCATGGTACCTTTTTCATAGGCTTTTTTGAGTTTGGGCAAGGACACAGGGGCCCCATGATCCCCTATTGCCCAGGGGCCCCATGAGTTGTCAGTCCGCCCCTGCTTAAAGCATATAAGCTCACTGTGCCCAACTAGCAGTCGCCATACACATTTTGTATGCAAGTCCAATTCCAAAAATGTCAGCAACAGGTGAATGCAAAAATCTTTATTGCATCAAGGAGTAAAAATATTCCATGGCAAACTGGCGCTAAACGCGTTTTTTAGTGTAAAACAGACCTTATTCATAGCTCATGAAGCTATGAATAAGATCTGTTTTTTAGACTGAAACACATTAGGTCAGTTTTCCATGGAATATTTTTGGATGGATGCAAATTGCACGGCAAAGAATAACATGCGATTTAAACGGGAATGCGATTGCTGTCTAAATAACATGCAGTTTCCCCACTGCTCTTGTGTGAACCCAGGCTGTCATAGCCTGAGTTCACACAGGAGTGTTGCAGGGAGCTTTCTTGCAGCGGAGGGTGGGAGAGAAGGGTGTGTGGGGATGTATGGTGGCAGATGCTCCCTATTCTCAGAGGTAGGAGAGGAGACAAAGCGGTGGCTTTCTATCTCTTCTTGCAGGAATGACAGTTCGGGCTACAGGGCTTTTGATTGGTCAGCACCATCACAAGGATGGTGCTGATCAATCAGATTCTGTCTAGCCCATACTGTCATCTCTGTAAGGAGAGAGAGGAAAATTGCTTCACAGGTCTGAGGATTTGAAATCCCCGTGTCTTTCTCTACTCTCCTTGCAGCGATGACAGTACGGGCTAGACACCATCTGATTGATGCAAATTGCATAGCATTGGTTTCCAGTATCGGGAGCATTTTCTTGAGTACAAGTAGTTGCACTACACTGATACCGGTATCGGTGCATCCCGAGTAATTGGTATCAGTGAGTACTTGAGGAAAAGTATAGATACTCGTACGTACTCGCTTCAAAAAAAATGGTATCGGGGAATCCCTACTAGGTATGGTATCTAGATAAATCATACTTTCTCATCCTGATATATACTGTATGTTCAGGGAGAGTGGAAGAACCGTATTTGCCGGCGTATAAGACGACTTTTTACCCCTTGAAAATCTTCTCAAAAGTCGGGGGTCGTCTTATACGCCAGTATACAGCATACTGACACTTTTTAGGGGGGTGGCGCGGTGCCGCCACCGCCCCCCCCCCCCCCCTTCCAATGGAAGGGATACTAAGTACAGGGGTGGGCAGGGGCTGTTTCTTACCTGACTCCGGTCCCACGACGATCCGGTCCAGGAAGCACGGCTGCTCCTTCAGTTCGGCCACTGGATGTTCGACTCCGCCTCCTCACCGGTGATTGGCCGCCAGAACTATAGCTCAGGAAAGGCACACAGGCGGCCAATCACCGGCGAGGGGGCGGAGCCGAGCGGCCCTGCGAAAATCGAGTGCAGGAGCAGCAGGTAAGTGTTCAGTGTAGTGCAGCAGCACCATACTAGAACAGGGTCAGCAAGTGTAATTGGTGTCAGTGGGAGGAATAGTGCCCCATCATTGGTGTCACTGATACCAATGATGGAGCACTATTCCTCCCACTGACACCAATGATGGGGCACTATTCCTCCCACTGACACCAACGAAGGGGCACTATTCCTCCCCCCCACTGACACCAACGATGGGGCACTATTCCCCCCCCCACTGACACCAATGATGGGGCACTATTCCACCCCCCACTGACACCAATGATGGGGCACTATTCCACCCCCACTGACACCAATGATGGGACACCATTCCTCCCACTGACACCAATGTTGGGACACTATTCCTCCCACTGACACCAATGATGGGGCACTATTCCCCCCACTGATACTACTGATGGGGCACTATTCCTGCCACTGATACCAATGATGGGGCACTATTCCTCCCACTGATACCAATGATGGGGCACTATTCCTGCCACTGATACCAGTGATGGGGCACCTATTCCCCCCACTGATACTAATGATGGGGCACTATTCCTGCCACTAATGCCAATGATGGGGCACTATTCCTGCCACTAATGCCAATGATGAGGCACTATTCCTGCCACTAATACCAATGATGGGGCACTATTCCTCCCACTGATACCAATGATGGGGCACTATTCCTGCCACTGATACCAGTGATGGGGCACCTATTCCCCCCACTGATACTAATGATGGGGCACTATTCCTGCCACTAATGCCAATGATGGGGCACTATTCCTGCCACTAATACCAATGATGGGGCACTATTCCTCCCACTGACACCAATGATGGGGCACAATTCTTCCCACTGGTGTGCATTGGAAGAGGGGTAGTCTTATACGGCGAGTATAGCCCAAACACTACATTTTAGCAGGAAAAGTAGGGGGTCGTCTTATACGCCAAGTCATCTTATACGTCGGCAAATACGGTGGATATGGCAAGACTTTTCCTGACTCCCGATTCTGAAGCGATGATCGGAGAGGAAGTGTGTCCATATGTTATTACTATCTTTGATAACTGTGGCCAACTGGCTAAATTGTGTGTTAAAAGTTTGATAACGATGAACAGTTCTTCAGTGAGATCTCTCTCTAGTGCCCCGTAATTCAGTTTTATTGTGATCGAGGCTTCAGGGGAGTGCAGTCAATCACGGCATGGGCTGCACTGTAGAAGGTCACATGCGGGTTACCTCCACAAGAATTCCAATCTTTTATTAGAGAAGAGGATCTTCCTTTTCAATAGATGTATTCTCTTTACAATGACACTGTCGTATCCACGCTGCCTTGACATCCAGTCTAGCCGAGCCCCTTTCTTTTGATTGTAATGTACTTTAATTATAGTAATGAAAGGAATAGATGAAAGCAGGCTTCACTAATACATTGTAATAAGTCCAGTCAATCAGAAATTAGCTTGAATCAGACTGTAGTATTTCCTTCAAATTGTTTTATGTGGCTGCAAATGCATTTGTTTGCTTTTTAGATGCAATTTTGAATTTAATAACATGCAATTAAAATAATTCTGTTTGCGTTGGGTATTATTTGTAAGGTTATACAGTTCTAAAGTAATTATATAGCTCAATGTAAAATTTACTTATGACCTGGACATTTTTTTACATTTAGCACTTTGCTACTTTAACTGGCAATTGCTCACTCATGCAACACTGTAAAGCTAATAAAGATTTATTTTGGTGGTATTTGATTGCAACT